GATTTGACAAAACTTAGTGTGAGTGTTTGTTTTCACCTAAAGATGAACCCTATTGAAAATCAGAAGAATCGAAAAATATTTAGTATGAGTTATTGCCCTTGTTCTTGAAAATGAAATGAAGTGCATTAAGGAGCATCAGTACCAAACGGGCTATATAGCTCCAGAATACGTTAATATAATAAAAAAAAACTAAAACAATAAAACACCTATCAATATCACAGAAAGGTCACATAGTGACAACAAAAAAAGACGATAAAAACCATATCACAGAAAAAGTCATTTAATGACTACAAAAAAACACTAAAAACAATATCACAGGTAATACACCACATGGTGGTATTAAAAGTAAACAATATTTAAAACAAACAATGACTAATCTATTTAAAACTTAAAAGAAAGACCTGCTTGTTTTAAAAAAGCCACAACCTTCTCATATGGAGAAGGTTGCGCAAAAAGCTGAAATAAAGAAACAGCACGGTAGTGCTGTGATCTTACAGGTTTGAGATGCTTACACTCAATCAGAATGTGTTTCACTGTCAGGCGGATCTGGCAGTGCTCACTGACTGTTTGAGGCTCTCGCTTGAGCAAATAACAGTTGGTGAGGTGAGTATGTCCAAGACGAGAGCGATACAAAACAACTTCATTTCTCCTGTTGGCACAATAGGAGGAGGGCCAGTCTCCTAGGAGAGGCTTAATGGCATGAAGCTTGTTAGTGTCTGCAGCATCCCATCTTTGCTGCCATCGATTAAATGACCTTATCACCGATTTAAAAGCCGAGTTCTTGAAAACGCGTTCAATTTTTAGCTCATAAGCACTCAAAAATGCACAGTTCTTGACAGATTTTGACGAAACTTGGTGTGAGTGTTCGTAATCACCCAAGGATGAACGCTATTGATAATAAGAAGAATCGAAAAATATTCAGTATAAGTCATTGCACTTGTTTAATATTTAACTTGTAAACACTCTAGAAGGCAAAATTCTAGACGGATTTTGACGAAACTTAGCATGAGAGTTTTTTATCACCCAAAGAAAAATCCAATAGAAAATCCGAAAAATGTTTCTCAGGAGTTATTGACCTTGTTCTTGAAAACGCTTTCAAATTTTAGCTCTTAAACACTAAAAGCCAAGATTCTTTCTGGATTTTGACAAAACTTAGTTTCATTATTCAGTACCGCGCTGAAGGTTGAATATTTGCCTTCTTTAGTTTTCACGAGCTAAAAATTGAGCACGTTTTCAAGAACAAGGGCAATAACTCATTCTCAATATCATTCAGTATCTCCCTCAAAAGTTCAAAAGAAGTGTATGACTGAAGGTTGAATATTTCATACTGGTGATTGTTACTGTACTGCTAAATATCTTTACGGACGTTTTTTGGATGACATTTTCAGGGTTTGGACTTATTCTATTCTAGTTTTGTGAATTCTTTGAAATTCCCAACAACCACCATCCTTCCATCAAACTAACCGCAAACATGAGTGACAAAAGCATAGACTTTCTCGATACCACTGTCTTTAAGGGAGATTCCATAGCAGAGCTCCTTTCACCCAAAACATACCTTTTCTGGTATAAGTAAGTCATAAGTTTTACAATTTCACCGAATTTGATCTTCTGATTTCAACCAAGCCTGTACTCTGGAGTGTTTCGGTAAAACCTAGTAGGTCGAATTTTTGAAAAAATTAAGTTGGGACCATTTTCCGACTTAGTGGGTTTCACCTCATCATATAATTCATTCAGAAATAAATTAGTTATTGATTCATGAACTTTATAATAATAAAACCTAGCAAGTCAAGAGAATTTATTCAACCAAAACCTAACAAATTGACTCGCTGAGTTTTTATTGACAAATTTCCTCCTATCTGTATTGACAAAAACTAGCAAATTCCTACCAAATAACAGTAATTTAAACTATTAAAATGACCTCAAGAGGACAGGGCTGGTAGAGCGTAAGAAACTAGGCAAGCCTTTAGAAAGCAGGTAAAGGCTGAAGAACATAAAATTAAGCCAGATCAACATGCTAGTCTGTGTCAGGCTAATATAGGCCTACATCAACGTCGATGTTCATATACCCATGGTTTTTAGTGTCAGCTGTTCTTCTCTCAAAACTTTCTACACATGGTCAAAATTTACTTTTTGAGCAAAATGAACCCCAAAATGATAGTAACATCAAAACGTGAACCCAATAGTTGTTGGCTGCTCAAACACTGTGATATAATTTCATGGGACGGGGCTAAAAGGTTACCAGTGTTGCCAGAATTTGTGATGAATTCAGTTGTGAAAGGTATAGCATTTTCATTGTAGGAAAAGGCATTGAGCAGAATTGGAGAAAAGTGTACACAAGAAAGATAAATACCCGCTTCTTCCAGCCTGCCCTGAAACATGCAGAAAACCGTGCCAAAAGATAATTCCCCCTATTAGTCGAGAATCAATTAACAGAAGCTATTGGTCACTCTCAATCGGAGAAAGACGCCTGTGGCTCGATGGTCATATCCTGGTCAAGGAGGTCAAGTCGAGAAAAGCTGCTCAGGATAGATACAGCACGTCCCATAGATGATATACCAACTTTCGACTGAAGATGGATAGAAGGTAACTGTCTGCAAAACCATGTTCCTCTACACACTTAGACTAAAAACAGATGGAACAATTACAGAGTTTGTTAAATCGAATTTGAGTCCCAAAATTCACCAATGGTTGACATTGCCGATAAACGAGGGGGATCAGAGCCAAGTAACAAGTCAGACTTTGGTCAGATCTGTGCCCATATCAATTAGTTTCATCCACAAATCAGTCATTACACTCGGGAGAAAACTCCTAATAGGTGTTATTTCGATTGTAACCTTTCATTTTCAATTACTGACATGCGGAAGGATTTCAACAGTTAGTGGTCCAAGGCTTCCTATCATGTTTACTGGTAAGCCCTCTCAAGATGACTGCAATGTCTGCAAAGACTACAAATCCCACATGCTGATGGTGATGATAGTCAAAACTGTGAAACATGTCTAAAGGGTGAGCAGCATGAACTATTTGCAGAAAAAGCCAGACGTGCATATCAAGCTGATGCGTCCGACAAATGTCCAGATAACACTAAAATATTTGCTGCTGATATGCAGCTCGTCATTTTATTACCCAGATTAACTACCAAAGAGTATCTGTTTGTAAGTAGGTTAGTTGTCTTTAACGAGATCTTTGCTTCCCTTATTTACAGGAAAAGATGATTATGTCATACTGTGGCACGAGGCAATTGCTGGTAGGCTTGGCATAAATGTTGCATCTGCTTATATAAAGTGCATTAATCTTTCAGCAAAGGATAATGTAGTACTTTGGGCCGACAATTTTACTGGGCAGAATAAAAATTGGACTTTATTTACATCATTGGTAATGTGTGTAAATCAAGAATGGGCCCCAGAA